AAACCTTGCTGGATAACTCTTACCATGTGAAATGCAGTTCCTCATGAGAAGCTTCCATCCAGCGTGCACAAGTGCTCCCGAAGCCCAAGTGCTGAGCATGGTTAGTGCATAGCAGAGGATGCAGTGTGGAGGCAGCTGCCTTTGCTGTTTTTATCTCCTTCCTCCTGTTGGGCTTAAAACCAAGCTGCCATTTATCTCAGCACCATTATCTTGCTACGTCGTCAGTTGCATTTATTTAATGCAGTATTTCTGGCTTTTTGGAAAGACTTCGGGGTGGAGTGCTCAACCTTTGGGCAGGTGGAAGTGAAGCAGTGCTGTGTTTCTCATGGAATGGTTAAGGCTGCAGGAGACCGAGGTCATCAGCTGCAGCCACCCAAAGTGCAGGTGCTGCAAACTCACCATCCGCTTGCATGCAGAACAGCTAAGTGTTGTGCTGGCTGTGCTGCATTGCATCCATCTCCAGGAGGAAGGATTCCAGTCTCTGTGCTGTACAGGGTACCTGAGGATGGTGGGGTCAGCTGGCCTCACCTTGGCTTTCTGATCTCTTCATTAATTTCTTGGTGGCCTTTATGACAAGAGGACCAGATGCTGGGGAGATCAGTATCCCAGGCAGATATAAGTAAGCTCAAAGCCTGGATTGGAATAATTTCAGTCTTGCTTGATCACAGCATAATTTTTCTGGAGTTTTCTAGTCTGGCTGCATTATTTTGCAGTTAATTTTAGCCTCTATTGCTAAGCTCAGTATTTTTCTTGACTAAATAGATCTGCTCTGTAATTATTTAAATGCTTGCATCTTAATGTTTCTATCTTTTTAATAACACTTAAAAGCAGCAAGACATTATCTGCAAATCGCTTTGCCATTCATCGGGCTGCTTCTGGCTGCGAGCAGAGGTTTAATTAAAGCACAGAAGGGACTCTCAGGGAGGTGGTCAGTGGGCATGGTGAGGGTGGGCTGGGGGGTCTGAGCTCTGTTCCAACCTGAATGGTTCCGTGATTCAAGATTTGCTTTGCTTTCAGCCTCAGAGCATTGGGTGAGAGCAGGGCTCTCATGGGATCATGGGGGAGTAACGCTGCTCTTCCTGTGGTTTGTGGTTGAGCTGCTTTGAGGTATTTGGTTTCTGTCGCCTCTGAGTAGAAGAGCTGGCAGGAGTTAAAATTAGCTGAGTCTGCCTCCCACCTGCTTGAGTGCAGGCTTATTTTGGTTCGGGGTGGAACGTGTGGATTTAAGTCATAGGGGTGAGAGCCGTGCTGCTGCTGCCCTGGGCAGTGGGCACACTGGGGCCCCTGATGGATGGGACAGCTGTGCCCCACTGACAGAAGGGAGGAGAGCACTCCTGGGGGAAGAATGCATGGCTCGGAGCATGGAAAATAGGAGTAATGAGCCCACACTGAATAACAAAGCGAAATATGAATATTGGCTGCTGGGAGCATTGTTCTCTGTTGGTGCTGAGCAAAGCTCTGTGTAGGGCAGCCTGGCAGAGCTCTGCAGCTGGGTGATGGAGCTGGCTGCAGCTGGAGCTGCATTGCTTTGCTTTGCTTTGCAGCACAGCATTCCGTTATCTGTGGGAGCAGGGATGAGCAAGCAGCACTTGCTTAGAAAGGTGCTTTGAGGAGTGCTGCTCCAACTGCTGTGGCAAACAAATAACTTCAGGGCTCGTCTTGTTCTGAGCACATCAGGACGGGCTGGAAAACCTCCAGGAGAATGGAGAGGAGCAGCCAGGCAAGAGCAAAAGCAGACATCTGGGATGAGTTTGCTTTGATGGTGCTGAGCGTTAGAACAGCCTCTGATGCACGGGGCTGGTGTTGAAATGAGGAAGGCTGCTGCAAAGAGAGCTGCAGGGCCTGGGGGCCCCCCATGCAGGGACGGAAGCAGGAGGAGCTGCAGGAGAGGGCTGCTGGCACCCAGCTGGCTGCAAAGAACCTGCAGGGATGTTGGGCTGTCAAAATTGATGTATGCCCTTCGGCTGCACTGTGATCTGCGGTCAGTTGCAGTGCATGTGAAACCAAACCAGAGCATTTTCTGTCACTGCAGAGAAGGAGTATGCTTGTATGTTTACTAAACGTGTAAGTAAATCACAAAGTCTTCTCACCTGCTTTGGATTTGAATTATCACCAGTTTAACTTTTGTAATCCCACGTGATGCTTGCAGGAGTGCAGGATGCGTGAACTTGGCTTGCTGCAGCCTTATGCTGCAAGATGTTCCAGCAGCTTTGAGGATGGGCAGATTTCTCTCATCCCAGAAGGATTCCTGCTTGTGTCTGCCCATGGTCCATGAAGTGCTGTGGACCATCCTGGGCTGGCAGTGGGGAAGGAGCTGCCTGGCCTTGCTGAGCTGGTTCTTGCTCCCTGGCTCTTGCTATGGCAGTGCAAGGTTGGCTGCCTGACACCTGAGCTCTGAATTGCCTCCTTGTAGCCTTGCTGTGCTGGGACAAAGGTACTGCTGTTAGCTGCGTGAAGGATGTGGCTCCAGACTTGTTTTCCCTTAGCAGCCTGATAGCCTCCTTGTTTAGCAGCTCCTGGGTTATCTGCCATATCTCTGCGGGTGATGGTGATAAATGTTTGTTTGTTTGAGGTCAGAGTGAAGAAATTCAGCCCTGCCTCGTGCTGCAGACACACGCTCTGTGCTTTGCTATAGGTGTGCACGTGGCAGCACACTGAGCTGGGCCCCCAGCCTGGCCTGACCTGCCTGCAGTCATGGGGACGTGGCATGACTAATTGGCATCCTTTCCTAATGGACCTTCTGATCTTTGCACAAGAGCTTAGGCATAGAGCACCCATTGCAAGCAAATCACCTGTTTGTTTTATTGCTTTGCTGCATGCTGGTTCTTGCTGGCTCTTGCTTGGGCCAGTCCCAGGTTGTCCCCTGGGTGCCGGAAGGCTGCCCACAGCTGATGGCTGTCCATCACTGGTGATGCTCAATTGGAAGGAGCTGTTGATTCTGCTGAGGGTGGAGAGGCTTGGCAGAGAGGTCCAAACAAACCAGAGAGTTGGGTAATCACCAACCACGTGGATTTAACAAGAGCAGTGCTGGATTCTGCACCAGGGAAGGGGCAGCACTGGCTGTCCAGACAGACTGGGGGATGAGAGCCTTCATCCTTGGTAACCTGCTGGGATTCTTACCTTGCTCACCAAAAATCCAGTGGTGTGAATAGGGTTTAGATCCTTGGTCTTGATCCTTGGGGCTGGATGTAGGAGCAGCTCTCAGTCCCAGTTGGCACAGTGTCCTCCATTCCCTGGGGCCCGAATATCGTGTGGTGCCAGGTGTTCCCACTGCCCCATGCCTCTTGGCCACTTTTTATCAGGTCTGCAGGCTGGCGATGGCACAGAGCAGCTCTTCTTGCTCCTCAGCTTTTCCTGGTGGTAATTCAAGACTCAGCTTTCCATTTTCTTCCACGGTTCGTGCCTCCTACAGAAGCGTGTTGCTCTGAAACTGCTTTTTGGGGTGAACTGGGTGGGTGCAGCCTCCTCAGAAAGGCACCAGAGATTGCTCTTCCTCTTGCTCAAAAACTCAGCCCCTCAGTGAATGGGATGCAAAAGGTAAAAATACTTGTTCTCTCCCTTTTGCTCCTTTCTGGTGGGGAGAAGCAGTTGGCACTGCCCCTCGTGCACTCACACAGTGGGAGGTGAGGAGCAGCTGAGCTGGTCAGGGGTCACCTTTTTCTGTATCAAGCATTGGTGGCTGCATCCCTCATTTCTGCGAGCTTAGCTGCTGAACTGTGAATATATGCAGTGCCAAAGCTGCCTCATTTCCCATGTAACTTCGTGGCCTTTCTCAGAAGAGCAAGGCTTGATTTCTCAGCCTGGTATTTTAATGCACAGCATTTGAATGTCCTGTCTTTCCAGAAAAGCTTGCCTGAACTTCCCAAGCCGGTGCAAACCAGTCTGTTATCTGCTTGGGCTCATCTCTCCATAAAAAGCACACTGAGTGTTAATCTTTGATGGAAGCAAAGCAAAGGTAATGAGATTGCAGGATGCTCGAGTCAGTGGGGTGCTTTGGGAAGTGCTCCCCAGCCCTTCTAGGTTCTCCTACCGGTCTGCTATTGGGTATGTCCATGTTCTGTGGGGTAAATATGGTGCTAATTCACATAGTGTTGCAAAGAAACTGAAGCATCACCATCCATGGAGGGTGTTTGTCTGCTTCTGAAGTTGGCTGTAGCCTGAAGTAGCCTTGTGGAGTGGTTAAGGTGGGTGCAGAAAGCTAGAGCTGCTGCTTCCAACTGCTGCAGCCTGGGTTTTGTCACGGTGTTGTGACACCACCCCTGTGGTCTGAGGATCCTGAGCAGGCATTTGTTAGGATATCAAGCTTTTTAAAAGTTACTTTTCAAACTGGCGATTGCTTCGGAGAGGTGGTTTTAGGAGAGGTGGTTTTAGGTGGCAGCGTGCTCAAGCTGTAAGGAGTGGCTGTGAGCCTTCAGGTGGGTTCTTTGTTTGGAACTCTGTATGGCAGGGCAATGCCTGCCACTTCCTGCTATTCAGAACAGCAGTGCATTGGTTGCTAATGGCTGTAATTAGGGACTTGGAAGCCTTTCCCACGCTTCCTTTTTCCCACAGACCTGTTGGTGCTGATGGTGCAGGCGCCCTGGCTCTGGGTGGCTGAGCAGAGCCTGCTGGGTCAGGGTTGCTTGTCGCTCAGTGCCTTTGTGATGGAGCTGCTGTTTCTTTAAATCCCTTCGGTCGCAGTCGATGTCAGCCTGTGATTTCCCACAGCTGTTTGGCTTTATTGGCTGGGGCAGTTGGGCCAGATGCAGACGTGCCCATCCATGGTGTTGTGGCATCTCCCTCGGTGCTGCCCTTGTGCCACTTCCATCCATGGAGTACCCGGAGCCTTCCAGATGCTTGGATGCCATCACCTTACTGTGCAGCTTTTTAACACTCCCATTGTGTCATTTTTTCCCACAACGAAAACGAGACAAGCGTGTTCATTTCTATCATTGTATTCTTCTCTGTGTTAAATACATTCGTGAACTGACGCTTCTTTTTTTTTTCTCATCTCCTTTCAGCCAGACAACGAAATCTCTTCAGACTGCAACCACGTAAGTATTGCTTTGTTTCCTTCTGCCTCCCACTGGGCCCTTGGCAGCTCCCATCCCTTTCAGCCTCAAGTACAAGGTGGAGTTTGCAGGAAGCGTTAATTGGGATGCACTTGAGTTGCTGGGCTGTGGAGGAAGAGCACAACACGACTTCTCTAACCAAGAGCAGCCAGTATGTTCTTACTGAAAACTTCAGAAGGGAGCACTATAAACTTCTGTATCCGAGGAACACAGCTGATATCTTTTCTGGCTTGCATTTGGGGGGTGGTTCCTGTTCCCGTGCGTTACTTGGAGCAATGTGCTGAGCTCCTTCTGGAGAGATGTGAGCAGGGCTGAATTTAAACTTCTGTGTTGCTTTCACAGCTGCTAAATTCTTCGACTTGCTTGCAGAATGCCATGGGGGTGTGATATTTCGAGGCAGCTTGAACTGCTTGGCTACTTTGGGAACAGATTTCCTCTCGGTGCTGTGTTTAACTGAGCAAACTGTTAGCCAGGTTTCAGGCTGTCAAGCTCACTCTACGTAGGGGGCTAAAATAAAAAGGCAGAGCCTTTTTCAGAAGCCATAATTTGGTTTATTAGTGATATATGCCAACACCAACCCTGGCAATGCTGTCCAACCGGGCATTTCCAGCAGAGTTTGTAGCTTTGGTTTTACGGCTGCTGATCCTCTCTCCTGGGAAAATGCTGAGGTTCAAAATCTGTGTTTTTAAGCCACAGATGTAACCTCTCTTCTGGCTGTGGGACGGTTTCCTTGGAGAGATGTGATGCCAAGGCCCTCTGAGGTTTGCATGTGCATTTTTATGCTCTTACACCTCATTCTTGTCCTTCTGATCCTGGCTGGGAGATGCTCTTTGCACGGGCAATCTCCCCGCTAATTCTCTTTGTTTATTCAACTTGGATGTTTACAACTTAGGCCCTCCAAAATACGTTGGAATCTCTTTATTTAGCGTTTCACCGCTACAGAGCCTTGCTGGGAGGTGTGGAAGTGGAACGTTTTTAGCTGTGTGTGCTTCCGCCGTCTCAGGGGTGGTGCAGAGCTGCTCTCCTTCTGTCTGAACACATTTCCCTGTTTTCTCAACGCTTGGCTTACAACTGAGATTTCAGAAGAGAAGTTTGACAAAACTCGAGCATTTCGATATTCGTTTGGCTTCTGCTGTGAAGGCAGAGCATTAGAAACGAATTCTTAAAGCTGTTCAATCTCTGTTTAAACACAACATAAATTTCTGGAGGAAAACAGATGAGCTGATAGCGCTCCTCTCGGGCAGCATCTCTGGCTGTTCATGTGCTGAGGTTTTGCTTTCTTACCCTTTCTTTTCACTTTGTGGTGCCTCAGGAGGAAAGCCGAGGTGTGGATCTGTCTGCAGAGCATAACTTGCCCCAGATTGATTCTTGCAGGGTGACCCAACGCATCCGGGCTCCTGCATGAGCTCATCTCTGGCTCCTACCACCCTGACTGTGGTGTTTTGCAGCCTTGTTTCTGATGGATGAGTCTGCTCAGCAGAAGAGAACCTGTAGGTCTGAAGGGCGTTTGCATCCACAGGGTTGTCTGAATGCAGCCCTTCATAGAGGGCGGTGAGTCAGGGCCTGGATGCAGTCTCCTTCCCTTTTTTGCAGGGCTTTAGTTGGGTGTTCAGCAGCAAAATCTGCTCGTGCTGAGGACTTTGTTGAATGGTTTGTGTCAGGCAGATGAGCCACGGCACGGAGGTGTGGGGGATTGAAAACACAGCTAAATAGGCAGCAGGTAGCATCTTACAGCTCTTGTTTTTTTCCCTTTTGGTTGCGTGGATGTCTTCATTAGCTGTATTTCCTTCCAGTGAGTCAGCCCATGACCTTACAGAAAGATTTCTGGCAGTCTGAATTTGTTCAGGATAAGAAACGTGCTGCAGAAACGAGGAGACAAAGTTGTTGTCAAGGAGACTTTGCATTGATTGTTTGCTGTAGAAGGATGATGATACAGATCTGGAATGTTGATGTCTGATTATTTCTCGAAGCAAAGCAGCAGTTCCTCCATGGGCAGCTCTCAAACCTTCTTTCTACAAATGCTCTCTCTAGCTCCTGTGGAACTACAAGCTGAACCTGACTACAGATCCCAAGTTCGAGTCCGTGGCCAGAGAAGTTTGCAAGTCCACCATTGCAGAGGTAAGGCACTGCACACTGCTGTCGTGGCACTGAGAATCCATCATCTCCTTATGATGGAGAATAGTGCCAGCAATGTTCTGGGTGAGCCCTGCAGCTGCACGCTCCTCTGCAGTGAGAGTTACAGCCTGCCCACTGCCAAAACTCATTCTTAAACATTCACTTTGCTCTAGATAGTGGCTCCTTTGTGGCCCTTAACATAGGTTTCCCTGACGCCAGCTGCATGAATAGCAGATTGCCTGCAACCCTGCTTTGTATGCCTGTTTTCTGTAGGATGGACTTCTGGTGATGCAGGTCTGCTCATTATGCAGGAATGTCTCAGTGCTGAGCAGCCAAGCAGTGGTTCCCCATGTCTCCTCGTGTACTCACCTGCATCATTCCCCTTTATTTAGAAAGTGTTCAGTTAGTAAAAGAGAAGCACACAAAGATCTGAGGAACGGAGGCTGTCAGCAGGAGCCTGGCCTCAAAACTTGGGGAGGTGGTGTGGGTGAAGGATGCTTGACTGCTGTTTCTTTGCAGGCTGTTAAGGTTCTGCTCCTTCTCTTAGCATGAGAAGGGGGTTGGACTCGATGATCTCTGGAGGTCCCTTCCAACTCCTACAATTCTGTGATTTTATGAGCTGGGCTGGGTAAGAATAGCACTACTGGGAAAGCATCGTGTAGTGTAAGGAGGGATGAAGGAACGTGGCTGGTAAAAGAAGGCTGGAAGGAAAGCAGCTTGTCTTGAAGGCTTGCATTGCTTGAGTTTGGTAGCTCCCAAAAGCAAACACTGCCAAAGCTATTGAATTCCACTTCTTGCAGTCGTGGAAGGATGTTTCCCCTCCCACCCCATTTTATGTCACGTAGCTGCTGCAGGATTTTTACCAAGGCGTTCTTGTAAATGCTCTTTTAACAGTCTGTGTAATTACCACTTCTGTACAGTGACAATCTGGCGTTGTTGTAAATGGTGCCCTCTAAATCTGGGACGTGATGTCTAAAAGCAGCAGGGAAAGCACAGAACTTGAGCTGTGCTAAATGCGTCCCCGCCAGCGTTGTGCTGAAGTTGTGGTGAGCAGCATGAATTGCTGCTATTTCACCATTTGGTGAGTGGTTTTCATTTAAAGACAGAAACGAGCTGGGTAAATAGCAATAATCTTGCCTGATCTCTTGCTATCTGATACTGGGGCAGGTGCATAAGCAATTTCACTAATTTTAATGGTTTTTCCACAGAAGCCCAATGCATACAGTTGGCATATACTGCTAGCATAGTCTTAGCCTGTTTTGCTTTCATTGACAGGTAGGTGTGTTCTTGTTTTGTGGCTGAGCAGTGATTCCTCGTATTGCTTTATTAATATGAGCCAGGGCTGTGCGCTGGTTTGGCTCGTAGCTCCCAAACCAAAGATGCAGCTCTGGAGGCAGGCTTGCTTGCTCTCTGCCTGCAGTGAAGCTCAGCATAAAGAATGCTTGTGAGCCTGATTAAAAGCCAGTTTGGTGAGAGTTTTCCTCTGCAGTGATATTTGCAGCTTCCAGCAAGTTATAAATGCTTCCATAAATATTGTGTTGGTTTTTGGATCAGTCTTGCTTCCAGCCAGAACGCTGTGTTGTGCGAGGGGTCGAGTGGTTCACATGGGTCCAAGTATGATTTAGTGATGCTGTAATAGTCTCTGTTTTCTAAATAAAGATTGTCAAACCGTAATTTTTCATACAAATGCGCTTGATTGCAGGGATTCAAAGTAGTTATTATGAAAGATGGCTATGGAGCAAGAGGGCTTCCAGTCCTCAAGGTCACTGCCTTTGCTTTCTCCACATGCCTCAGCCACTGTATTTCACAGAATCACAGAATTGCCAGGCTTGGAAGGGACCTCAAGGACCATGAATCTCCAACCCC